CCCCCCCTCAGTCGCTGTGCTGCTTTCACAGGACAATGAGCCCTGTCAATCAACCGGGGGCCTGACAGACAGAAGGAAAGTGTCCCCGTGCAAAGAGCTCTCCCTCAGAGGACATCTGTGCAGGAGCAGACGTTATCAAACCTGCCCGTCAGGTTCTCTTGCCAGTCTACTCATCATGACGGAGCTTAGCTTCACTGTCACACAAATCTGTTCCAGTCACTAAAACTTAAATTTGCTTTTTCTTTCTCCAACACTCATTGTTCGCTGCTCTGGATGAGTGTCAGCTGAATCGATCTGGCCTTTTTTTAAAGTTTTTTTTGTACCTGAGCAAATCAGTGCCAGTTGATATTTTTAGCACAAGCTGCTGAATATATTCTTTGTAAATTAATAAAGCACTCCTACATAAACCCTCCTTTGCACTGTTACACGAGAGTAAAGACGAGTGGGATCATTCTGGCTAGCCCATAAAATAGTTTCCAGTGTATTGTGGACACGTTGTGTTCGCCGCCTGGCTGTACACAGCTTCTGTCAATGTTTGTACAAGATTATTTTTTAAAAAGGTGCGTCGACCAGCACTGGGTTGCAGGGTGAGATTGTTATTCCTTTCTTCTGGTAATGTGTCCTTCACTGGGTTGAGTAATTCTGTATTGGTTGGGTGTTTCAAGTTTCAACGCTGCGTGGGTTGTAAGACATCAAGCTTCTACTTACTACTGCGCCCTCGTCTTCATGTGATTTCCTATTCTCATTCACGCTTCTCCGCCACGCGTTCCTCCTCACCCGAGGGAGGGCGCACCTAAAACTCAAACGGCTTTGTTACAAAGAAATGAAAGCGGACGTGCGGACGGCGGGAGGGAGGAAATACTCGCTCTGTTGCTCTGTTGCGCGAACGCTCTTCCTCAGGCATACCAAATATGGCGTCTGCGAGACACTATTTAACCAGACGATTGCACGGTGGAATACAAATACAAGTCAAGGTGACTACTCAACCAACTGAAAGAGCAGGGCTAGATAATGATTACATATTATTCAGAGCAGATTCCTGTGCCATACACTCATCCATTGTCCCTTTGCTAAATTACCACACACTCTTCTTGAGTGTTTACGGAAAAATGGAAGGAAATAATAAGTGTGCAGTTATTATCCAAGCTGCGAATTGCCAGCAAGTGTTTCTCTTGTCTGGCTTCCTTTTCACATAAGCTTGATGGGCCTTTATGTTGACGATAAAAAAGACTTCATGCTGTTGGGGAATAATTTGTGTAAAAACATCGAAAAGGTAAAGCAGGACGCGGAGAGTCTTTTTACCCCCCACAGGAGAGATGATTACTGGGTAGAGGGTTGAATCAGGCCGGTCTCTGTGGTGAACTGAGCACCATGGCACGGTGGCCAACAGGTGCAAACGCGCTGCACTTTCAAAATACGATGCAAATAAAAAAACACAAATCTGCCAAGACACGTGCAAATGAAGAAAAATATTCAACGAGTTGACAAAATGCACTACATTAAGAAAAAATTCACCAATAAAACATGTTCAACGTTAACTGAAAGCGCTGCAAGTAAAAAACGCTGCAAGAAGCTCAAACCACACAGAAAGGGGGACACTAGAAAGTGACACACACAACTGGGACCGGAGCACTTGTTGACGTTCGGGGATTATGAAGTTGGCTTACTGTCACTGTCACTGAAAATGTACATGAAATGTGTGTTGTATTGGCTTATTTAAAAAAAAATATCGCATGAGTCTTCCGATATTATTGGAGATCTGCTGTTAGCTAGCTATCAAACCTAGTCATTTCAAATATGCTGACAAAACATTTACAATTATGAAATAGACTAACTCTGCCAACAGTGACAGTTGGCCAACTTTATAATCGTGAACCTAATAAGCTCCGGTCCCAGCTGTGCATCACTTTTTGGTATCCTCTTCTTACTGATGTGTTTTGAGCTTCTTGCAGCGTTTTTTTGTCTGTAGAGTTTTATATTTATATCATTTTTTAGCTTAACAAGCGTGCTTGTTACACCGCAAATGGCATACATATGAAAATGTTTGCTAGTCTTCCTGCAATCCTCCCAAAAGCCATCCTTGCTCTCCTCGCTGTATTCTGCTGCGTTCATTCTTCACTGTCTGCAGAGCGGTTAAATGGAAGGAGTGTCTGAAAATATGTCAGGCCACTTATCCTAATAGGAGCTGATGGCTTGCTGTCAAAAAAACAAAAACAAAGGATTGTGGGGACTTTAAAAAAAAAAGGTAACAGAGGGGACAATTGACAGATTGAAGCTTTCCAGAAACTTGTATTTTCTTAAAGACGAGGCAATAAAGCAGCTTTTAAAAATAAAAGCCTTGGCGGTGGAGGTGAGGGTGAAGCGCGCTGGGGGACGATGCCTGAAAGTAAGATACACAGGCTTGTTCTTTTTTTAAAGACAATGGGGATTTCCGAGAGGGGGATGCTTGTTCTTTTGTATTCCTCTGCAGGAAGGGTGGAGGCGCTACATGCTTCTCCCTCTGCAGCTGGGAGTAGCGACACCATTCATTTGTACCATAAAGCAGCTTTTAAATGTTGTGTTCCAGGTTGCAGACATGTTGTGAACAAAGTCAATGTTTTTACATAATTTGTAAATACTAAGATAGATTTAATTATTGCTTTTTGTTAATAAAAGCGCCACATACATTTAAAATGTGCAGCTACTGAGAAAATAATTTAAAACATAACAAACATATCTTTTTCATCATGACGGTGATGAGCTTTGGACAGTTATGTAAGTGTTTTGTATTTGCTTTGTTTTGTTTTTTCTCAATAAATTCATTTGTTTGCACCAGAGAGTGTTCTGAGTCGTGACTGCCGCTGAAAAGCAAGGTTTCAAAAAGTAATGACAGACAAGGACATGTTTGAATAAAAACTTGTATTGATCAAACTGCCATAGAACATTAATGCTGTTGATATCTAACACTGGCCTTGGAGAGCATTCCAACCTACCTCATGTATCTTACATTTCCCCTCTATAGCTGCAACATGCTCGACATGAGAACACTTTTAATAGCAGAGTTAACATTTCATAGTTTGTATGATTGCTGATATGAAACATT